TTGTTTTTTTAACGTCAGTCATTGATAAAAAAAAATTCTTGTCAACTGCTTTGTTTAATTTTGTCGACAATTATATTTATTCTGAAGAAATGTCGGCCAGGAATAGTATCTAAAATTTCAATCGCTGTGATACTTTTGTATCTGGTTTTATTAATAACATATGACCCCTTTTCTAAAGAGCGTATATATATATATATATATATATATATATATATATATATATATATATATATATATATATATATGTGTGTGTCTGTGTGTTAATATAGTTTCTGTTTGTACATTATTTTTCTAGATGCAATTTTTATTTATTTATTGTATCTATAAAATAACGTATAAACAGAAAATTTATTAAATAGTTGTTGAACTTAATCCATTTCATTATATATTAGACAGATAGATAGATAGATAGATAGATAGATATAAATATGATAGATAGATAGATATATAGATAGATAGATAGATAGATAGATAGATATAAATAGATATAGATAAACAGATAGATAGATAGATAGATAGATAGATATAAACAGATCATGATAGATAGATAGATAGATAGATAGATAGATAGATAGATAGATATAAACAGATCATGATAGATAGATAGATAGATAGATAGATAGATAAGGGCAACGTTGAACAACGGACCAGTCGCTATTACATCTATTCTTGCTATCAATATTCTCCTGGTGAATCGAGTATTCTGCCATTTGCAAATATCATAAAACTTCTTTCAGCCTATTCAAACACAGAAATCTATGTGAGTCAACGGGTAATTGATATGTTACGAATAAAATTATTTGTCTCTGCCTAATCGAGTCAGAAGTCTTCAGTATCGTTTTTTCTTACACTAGGCTATAATTCGTCCGGGCTGTAAACAATACATTCAATATTCAATATGTATTAATTCAGTCATAAATGACAGACCCGCATTTGTCAACTCGCCTTTAGATGGTGAGCCTGTCAGTTTTATTATCTTTGTTATAGACTGTCAGTAATCGGGTTTGTACAGCAAGTATAGCCGAGTGGTTAGAACGTTCGCATTCTGAATATGAGGCCCGGGTTCGAATCTTACCAGGGTCGATTTATCAAGAATGAGACTTCCTGGAGGGGTGCGACCCCTTGTCAAAATGCCTGAAAAACCATACCACGTGTGTGAAATTGGGTCCGTTGATAGCTGTGCAATGTCACAAGTCAAGCTTGATCTTGCTGGCCTTGTTCAAATTTGCGGCCCCAGACCACATTCTACAGTATTGATGGAGTCCCTGCTGGAGAAGAATTATTTTCCACCCTCCGACCCATCGGGATGTGGTGAGTCTCTGACTGTTCTATCGCTTCGTTCCGCCACATCTAAGCCATGCCACTTACATATTAGCAACATATCCATATTCCTTACGTATTCCATCGGCGAGAAGAAAGTTCCAATCGGACAGCTTCTTCAAGCGAACCACTGACTTGTGGAACAGACTCAAGATGATGTTTTCCCGATTATTAATACTGTTCAAGTCTAGAGTTAACCGTCATCTTCCCCGACTATTCTATAAACTACCCCTTAATTAACTCTCTACGACAAGGGGCCCCACTGGCCTTGTTCAGGGTGAACATTACTGTAAAAAAAGCATCTCTTTATAGTATAGAAATGAATATAATATGGGAGCCAGTAATAAGGAGTGGAAAAGAAAAGCGATAATAACAACAAAAATTGCAATATGAGCTCTAGTAAAAACACTAATGATAACAGCAAAAATTGCAATATGAGCACTGGTAAAAAAATGACCTGAAGATATTAGTTTTATAATACTCAGAAATTCGTACACAGATGTCTTCAAAGAGACATGGCACAGTGGATAAAGACATTTGTTAGATCCTGTGACGGGACCCAAAGAGTATGAGTTCAATAATCGGTTAAGGCAGTCCAGAACTTGGAGAGGGGAATTAACAAGAGATAACTGACATCCATTAAACATGACACGTGGAACTAGAACAGTTTACCCCAGTAAGCGAAATAAAGGGTTCAGTTCGACATTCCAACCACCTGAAGAAGGTCGGAGCGTACAACGGCCGTTATAATAAATATGACGACAAAGATGAGAACAATAGTCCGAATAATATAAATAGTGTAAAAAAAAGAGATCATCGTTTTCTTTACTATTGACTTTTATTTACGAAAAGTTTTCTACCATAAATATCTTGCAATGAAAAACGAAATCGAGAATAAAAAATTAATGAAGCATTTTCAGATATGTAAATCGCTGATTAGGATTATCTTTGAATATAATGGCTTTCTCATTTCATTTCCCATATCATGTTACATTTGACATGCACTTTGGGTGTTACATTCTCTAAACCTCATTTTCTCATTATGTGTCCCCCAAATTGCAACGGGCTTACGGCTACATCTTGTTGAAAAACCGATTTCCGTACGATCAGCTAAGTTAAGCAACGTCTAGCTTGGGCAGTACCGAGATTCGTGAGGGCTTGGGAATACCATGTGCTGTAAGTTTGAACATTAGGGTGGTGTAATGAGTCGGAATTGTTAATTGGAGAACTGAGTTCCAATTCCAGTTGGGCTCATTATATTCACTTACGCGCAAATACCCTTGGGAAAGGTATGAACACACCTCCTCTCCTCCTACCTATGGGTTAATTAGTAAGACTTATATCGCACAGTGGATAAAGTCGTTGGTTAGATCCAGTGGCAGGACCCAAAGAGTGTGAGTTCAATACCCGGTTAAGGCAGTGGAGAACTTGGTGGGGTATTAACAGGAGATAACTCATAACTGACATCCATTAGACATGGCATGTGGAACTAGAACAGTCTTCCCTGTATATCACTAAAAACATTATTATCTCAAAAAATAATGTTTTATCCCGTGATCCGTCGGGTCACCATGTAGGAGTGATGTTTCTTGCCTGACAGAGCACTCCTGGTTTTTTCCTTCTCCTAGACCGGTTCCCCTCTAAGCCCCCAATTTTCTGGGATGGACAATTAAGCTGTAACATGATTTGAACAATTTTGCTGTTACACCTGGTATATGAACAAAATAATCGGATTAATCAGGGAAAACTGAATTCTAACAGTATTCCTCTCGTTGGCTAGATTAGAAAGACTTGCTCTTAAGTAAGGTTCCCCTGGGTACGTTCTTTACAGAAACGTGAAGATACGTTATACATTTAAAGGGATATCGCTTTATTTATTCATGAGGCGGTGTCTTCGCTCATGATCGATTCCCCTCTCAAGCAAAAGTAAAATTGATCCCTCACATCAAACTCGGTAAATAGCTAGAACATGTCAACAGTTATATTTGTCTAAATCAATTCTTAGCGGCCATGTTTGCAAGTCTCTTTTCATTTATATTACTGACTCTGAGCCAACAAGTTGGAAAGCAATAAATTAAAAACAATAGAAAACAAATACAACTCCCCACCAGAAAAATGTAATAAATTGATTGCCAATTGTACCTAATATTAGATTATACATTATTCCTCGTCTTAATTAAATAAGCATATTTCGCCCTGCGACCAGAATCGAATGAAAGGCTACCTAAAAACTACCATTAAAGAATTTTGGTATTTCACAATGCGCTGTTAAAGTTAAAGGGTCGGGGGCAATATTTAATGTTGTTGTTTGTTTTAGAACGTTTTAGTTGTATTAATAATATTTCTATCTAAAACTACACGTATAAAATAAACAATAATTAATAATTTGCACAAACAAGTTACTAGAGAGAAGATTTTTAACCAAATGATTTAACATAGCACAACGTAACCCAATACATTTTTGTGGTAGGTAAACAAGTTTAAATTTACTGTACATGAAGAAGCTGATACGTACTCGAACTGACTCGCTTTCTGAAATCAGGCCAAATAATTAAACATATTTTTTAAGAATCACATCTCCGTAGGGACGATAAGATTTTCGAAGAAAATTATTTACAAGAATATCAACGTTTCTATCAAATTCAGAAAGTAATGATTTGGTTGTAATTTACACTTAGGTGCCTTCTTACATGTAGGAATAAATGTCGATTATCATTGCTGATCAAGTGGCAGAAAGTCTTCTCTTTATCTCGGCATTTTCCTCGGCATTCTATATGATCATTGGAAATATGGCTTTCAAAATATGTAATGGAATTCAAGTACATCCAGACTCTGAAAACACAACCACCAAAAGTAAGGCAGTAAAGCCAATATGACACAAAGGGGTTACCGAGTTTGGTTTTCTTCAATATGAGAACTGGTAAAAATATTGCAGAAGATATTAGGTATATAATACCAAGAAATTCATACACATGGTGCAGTGAATAAAGGCGTTAGTTAGATCCGGTAACAAGACCCAAAGAATGTGAGTTCAATACCCGGTTAAAGCAGTGCAGAACTTTCAGAGGGGAATTAACAGGAGATAACTGATAACAGACATCGATTAAACATGACACGTGGAACTAGAACAGTCTACCCCAGTTAGCAAAATAAAGAATTCAGTTCGACATTCCAAACAAACTGAAGAAGGCTGGAGCGTACAACGGTCGAAACGTTGTAATAAATATGGCGACAATGATGTGGACAGTAGTCTGAATAATGTAAATAATGTACATAATACTTCATCTCAGAAATATAGACAGATACTGAAAGGCCGGAACGTTGTAATAAATATGGCGACAAAGATGAGGACAGTAGTCTGAATAATGTAAATAATGTACATAATACTTCACCTCAGAAATATAGAGAGATACTAATGAACGCTCTATTTTTAAAAATAAATAAATAAATAAACACACGACATATTTTTCCATTCGTAGTTTCAATGGGTGTGCGTTTGGCGATTATTTTATTATTTTTTTGCTTTTTTAATATCCTAAAAAAAATTTCTTTCTCCGTGGTTTCTCCAACTAAAATAATAAGATAATTAAAATATAAAATTTCCGCAAAAAACTGACCCTCAAATTCCAGGAATATTATCATTATTTAGTTATAATAAATGTTAGCAACGGAATGATATGAATTATTATGCAAGTGTCCAACGACTATTTGCTGGCCGTGTACATTTATAGCCGAAACTGAATTGAAATGATCTCGCCAGTATTATATATCAGAAGCAACAAAGCAAGCAATTACACTCTCATTATTAGAGTAATACCTTTCCGAATTCAGCACCACGTTGTGTACATCGAAAGTGTCTTATTTCCACGAGATGTACTCGAATCACAAGTAGAATTGGCTAAGTTTCGATTCATTGTATTTATAAGAGTATTTATAAGAGTATTTATATTCAAACTGGGATTATAAATAATAAAACTTTCCTTGTAATGAAAACTTCTTTCCAGTCCGTGCAGTTTTCTGGCTTCGTACGCCGACGGTCGGAATAGTTGTAATGAAACGTAACTGAAACTGACATGAAAGAAATACAAGAAAAATAATAATGGTCCTCAAGGTTTATATGAAACAAAATTCAGATAGTATTATTAATAAAGACCATCGACTCACAGTCCCAAAGATCTGATGAAAAATTAAAATTACGATGAAAGAAATTCTAGTCAAAAATTAACAATACAATTAATTCTCTTTATGTACAGGGGATACTTTCCAGAGACTACCGTACAAAATAAAACCATGTAAAAAAAATGATACAGTGTGCATAGGAAAATTAGAGATAGCTCCCATCGAAATATATTTACTAAAAGAAATTAATTTTCATATACAAATGAACTGAATTTTATCTATCTATCTATCTATCTATCTATCTATATATATATATATATATATATATATATATATTTAGCGAGTTACGCCCCATGATTTTTATTTTATTTCATTGGTATGAAACATAAGGATTAACACGTGTAGAAAGAAAGTTAAAAACTTTTTGAAAAGCTAAGGGAAAACGGTTAATGCAAAAAATGTTTATGAAAAAGTAAAAAAAAAATTTCTAAGGAAAAATGTTTGTAAAAAGGAAAACAACAAATCATTTTTTCTAAGAAAAAACACTGAAAATCCAATTGCAATTAGCAGAGTTTTAATAATTCTCTGTAAAAGTTCATATATTTTAAATAAATAACACTATATTAAATATTAGGTGCCTTTTTTCCCATCCTCATTTTAGTCTATGTTTTTGTACAGAATCTTTCTAACAAGATTTTGATTTTTTTACATATATATATATATATATATATAGATGTATAATATAATACAAAAGGCTCAATCACGAATATTCCATGGTTATAATTTATTACATTGGAATCGTAATCACGACCTACAGAATAAAAAATGAAGTGGGAAAATATAACTCCGGGTATAAATAATAAAATTTTAGTGAGAGTGTATGTGTAAGAGTGGAAAATAAGTGTGAAAAGAAATGAATTATTATTCTATGATATATATATATATATATATATATATATATATATATATATATATATATATATATATCCAAGAAGGAAATTCGGATTACCAATACACAAACAGAAAAGTCTCATATCGAGAATATTTAGCATTGAACATGAGTAAAAATTATTTTTAATAATATGTGGAAATCTCCACTTTTATCTGAAGACGGTCATGAGACCAGAAACACGCGTCGTAAAATTATGTAAAACAAAGCATAATATTTTTTCTAAATAAATCCACATTACAACCAAAAACGTTAGCGGCACCTCTCTTCTCTTCTTTTTAATATACATACTTTTCTCTCGTTGGAACCACTACATTATATTTCTTTTATATATATATATATATATATATATACATTAACCAATAATATTATCAATATATATATATATATATATATATATATATATATTAACCAATAATATTATCAATATATATATATATATATATATATATATATAAATCATCATTCAGTCTTTCAGTGTCACTACCAGACAGTAAATTTTCCTGCTTTCTGTTTTTTTTTCTGCGGCGCAAAATCACTCTTGTTATTGGAAATATTTAATGGCGATATATCTTCATGCGTATCGTGAATAAAATTAACATCTTGTGTTTCTTTTGTTTCACTGGTTTTACATACAAATTCGGTTATCAGATGCTAGGATTTTGTTTTTGTTAGTTCTTTAAATGATTCTTCATAACGTTTTATTTTCAAAACATGTTGGAATTTCTCAGCTTGTTCAACATTGTCATCATTTGTAAAAAAAAAAAAAAAATGATTTCCAAGAGTATTTGGCGATTTAGAGGCATTCTAGAATATACTTGCAGATAGTGGAACTACTTCATCATCACTACCTTCACTGAAATACTATGTATGTACAGTGAATATATCCCCTCCCAAACCAGAGAGTCGGGGATCACTATACGGAGAAAAAATTTACTTCGCTAAATTGTTACTTAATCATGTTATGCATGTAAAGTGTGACGAGTACGTCCGGTACTGTCTGTCAATAAAGAACACCGGCCACGTTCACCGGTCCACTTTATATATTATGCCAAGGGGAGGTATCTCTGTCTCAGACTGTTTCGCAGGGGCAGATAACTCTGTTTTCATCT